TCTTCTCTCTGGTGTCTCATTTCAATTCTGCTCTTCAGTTCTCCCTCCTTCTATCCCCTATAAACCTTCCCCTTCCATTCTGATTTTATGGCATTTAATATGTAGTAAGTAATTTATAATTTACTAATAATTTGTTAATTTGGGTACTTGTTTTACCCTCATAATATATTACCAACTTGAGGACTATGCTTTGCTTATCTTTGTGTGTCCTATGTCCTTTCTTACGTCTTTTTCACTTTTACTTATCATATATACACATATCCCTGGCTGTCTGAACTCTAAATATTTGCTATAATGACCTGCAAAAATTATTACCCAGAATTTACTGAGTTGAAAATTCACTATGATAAATATGCACATACCTGCTAGTGAAAATATTCAAGTGTGTTCAAGTGCAGAAAAAGCATATGTAAAATACATAAAAGTACAGAGGGGATTATAGCCTTCCATGGGTCTCCCTGTACGTGCTTTGGACAGGAGTCTGGGGACATCAGCAACAAGGCTCCAATTCAGATAAAATCTTTAATATATTATTTCATTTTTTATTTTCATTGCAGTACAGAAGAAAATTATAATTTCTATGTCATATTTTACACTATTGTGATTTACCATATAAACCCAATGAGTTCATTAAGTATTATATGATTATATAATCAGTACTTTAAATGCTATATAGGAATTTAAAGGGTTTTTATTGTATTTGGGAATAAATTGGTTATAGCTTTTGGTTGGGCTGGGGACACACAGTTTGTCTCATTTAAAATGACAGAGTAGAGGTTTCTTGCTTTCCACAAATGTGCTATATTATTCAGGAATAGACTAGATACAAATACCAAGACATGCCTTCATTTTAGTTTAAGAACACAATTCCAGAGAAGGATGGACTACTCTCAAGGTGTGATACAACTTTTTCATTTATTTTTTTACTGTGTTGGGCCTAAAGAAATTATGTCCGTATAATAACCTGCCAAGCGTGACCTGGCCAAGTTTTCTCCTATATTTGTACAATTTAGGTCACTAACCAAGAAGGAATGTCCCCACTGAATCGCTGCCCATGGAAGAGCATGTGGAATTACTCGTGGTAGCACACGTAGCAGGCTACCGCCAATACGTGCTGTGGCAGGCATGCTTTACACTACGTAAATACACAGAAGAAGGGTCTGAATGATCACACCTTTCATATGTCCAAACTGTTCTCCACTCTCAGTGATCTGGGTTTATGGGGTACACTATAATTGTGAATACCACTTTCAAACAGACTGCAACCTATAGTAAGAAATATCTTACTGCCTCAACAGAGTAACCACATATACATTTATATATGTATATAATATACATGTAGAAAAAAATGAGGAAAGAGCGGGGAAAGGTTGGGAAAGTCATCAGATGGAAATGCAGGTCAGACCCAGATTTATATATGTATATAATATACATGTATATGTAAGTATATAGAATTTATACATAACATGTTACATATCCAATAAAGATTAAAATATTCGCGGTTACTATTTATGATACTTTGATAATTTCTGTTTTACTCTGTTCTATTTTTTTCTTTAAAAAAAGTTTACAACACAATCAACTGATTTCATGACTATGAGATGTGACCTCCAATTTGAAGAACACTGCTTTGGAGGACATTCAATAATGAAAATGAAGAAAAAGAAGGTATTGTATTCTATTCTTTTGAAAGCTGAAATTATTTTATTAGGATCTCTAATGCAAACCTATCTATCAGTATTCAAATTTACTGGAACTGAGCAATACAACTGTTAAAGGCAACCTTAAGTCATGTTCCTGATCCCCCAGCCTGCCCCCCACTTTTATATTTCTATAATCTTCCTCTCCTAGTCACGGGCTCTGTGCTTAGCATCCTGACTTTTCTGTTGGGACTCTCCTTCTGTTTTCACACAGTCTCATCTATCTTGCAGGAAAAGAAAAAAAGAGAAAGAAGAAAACGACATATGTGAACATATGTATAGGTATGTGTACACTTACACACAACCCATAAAAC